AAAAAAAAAAAAAGAAAATTAGAAAATAAAAAAAAGTAGACAGAGAACAGAAATCACCCAGACGTCTGCCAGCTATGGCTATTAATATTGGATCTATCCCTCCAAATTTTTGAAGGCACATATAAACATTTGAAAACAAATCTGTCTCTCTATCCTATCTTTATAAAGAAATTATTATATTGGGTGGTGCCTGTGGCTCAGTGAGTAGGGCGCTGGCCCCATATACTGAGGGTGGCAGGTTCAAAACTGGCCCCGGGCAAATTGGAACAAAAAAAAAATAGCTAGGTGTTGTGGCAGGCGCCTGTAGTCCCAGCTACTTGGGAGGCTGAGGCAAGAGAATTGCCTAAGCCCAGAAGTTGGAGGTTGCTGTGAGCTGTGATGCCACAGCACTCTACCAGGGGCAATAAAATGAGACTCTGTCAAAAAAAAAAATTATTATATTTCCTTAATAGCTACATAACATTTCCAAAGCAAGGCAAACTATGACCTATCCATTTACTGCATTTTGCAGATCGAGGTGCCAGAAGTTGCTGTGGAGGGTTGGAGGGGCCCACCACTTCCGGCACACAATGGTAGCAGGATGGTGTCAGCCCACGCTAGGCACTAAATGCCCAGGAAAAACAAAAACTGTGAAAGGACCTATGGGCTGAGAAAGGCAGAAACAAGTGCATGTCCCCTGTGGGAATGAGGCCACACCAGGGTGTTCAAACACTTTCCACAGCACAAAGCAGATGAAAACCTCCAGAGTAATAGCAGCGACCACGGTCAAAACCTCGAGGGAAGCCCCAAGTCCTAGGAAGCACAGAAATGAGCATAAGACACACACGACATGTTGTGGGTCTCCTGAGTTCAGCCAGCCAAGGGGCCTTCCACACCCACTGTTTCCTTTCTCCCCTCCTCAGGGCGGCGAGGTGGTGCCCTTCCGCAGGTCTGCCTGGCCCCAGGCAGGGTGCTGGTGTGTCTGTGGAGCTCTATCAGTGACCAGCACAGAGAGCCTCTCACCTGCCTTCTTCCTGCTGGCTGCTTTTCTGCAGGCTGTCTCATTTTCAGCTGCTTCTTCCTGAGGGAGGTGACTGTCACCCACTTTTGTCTTTTGTTCCTCCACTGTTTCTTCAGGTACAAAGGGAGACTGGTCTACAATGGCTTCAAAAACACCCCTTGCGATAGTCTGCACCAATGTCTGGCTGAGGACAGAAGCACAGCAGACAGAGCACGATGAGAAGAGTTGCTCTGATCTTATTCGATGGGCACAGAGGGAAGCCCCACACATTGCACTTTGGTCTGCCTGGTACCTGGGGCCCTCAACTGCCAGCAGGTGTCATGTCCCTGACAACACTCTGCTGCCAACCACTGCTTGGAAGAACTGCCATGTGCCACCTGGCAGAGGACAATGGACACAACTCCGTGTGGGAGGACGTTCTTGGAATGACTGAGTGAAGAAGCCCCAGAGTTGTAAGCCCCAAATTACAGTCTGAGCTTCTAACATTTTGCTGATGGGAATCAAAACTCTGATTGTTTTTGTCTTTGGACAGTCACCCTGAGAGCCTGCGTTGTGCTTCACAGCAGGAACACCCCCACCCCGGGGCAGCAGGGAGACCCCCGGGTGAACAACTTACTCCTTAGTTTTGGCAGCAATTTTGCAGAATGGATCAATAAACTTGAGATTCTGATCTGCTAAAAGCTGTAATTGAGAAATAAAATGAGAAGAAAATGAGAAGAAAGATCTTTTTCTCTTTGACATGTCCTTGAAAAAGGCATCATTTGCATTTATCAAATAAGTTGATCCAGATAAGTAATGTTTGTCTTACAGCCTGAAAGTACCCACAGGGGTGTCATAGAAGCCTGGAGCCAGGCTCAAGGTCAGGATCATCCTCCGGCCACTCAGTATGTTAGTGCAATAACAGAAGAAAGCCACCCAGTGCTATCAGCACTCTCCTATCCACCCTGCTCAGAGAACACACCCCCTACACCCTCATGTGCTCATTTCTCCGTATCATGGAATTCTTTATGGGACTCTGTAGGCTGCTACGCAAATCCTCAGTTCATACAGGTCTGTTTACAGGTTCCACCAGTAACTTAGGGCATGTCCCAAAAGGTGTGAAGCAATTTATGCCACTACTATCCCTGGTGACTTGGAGCGGCAGCATCTCCCCAGCTGCCCCTGCTGCTCACCTCCTTCCCCCCGACTTTGGAGAGCTCGTCCAGATAAATATCAATGAAGTGGAACCTCACTGCATTAGGAGACTGGCTCTCAGGACAGAGGATCTCCTTCATCAAGACGTCTAGGAAAAGCTTGATTCGGCTGAAGAAAAAAACACATGTGGTTCTTACAGTACGTTCAGAGAAAACAAAAACGTTCAGCCCAGTGCTGGCACTGCATCAACGTCAATGCCAGGCTAAAACAACAGCTTTAGAAGGGAAAAAAAAACACCACTTAAATCAGAGTGACATGCTGCCCCATCTGCTAACTCCTCCTGTATGTTCCTCTCCCGGGTTTTGGTCCCCACAGTGCTTGACAGAGCAGGGGTAAAGTGCAGGGCACTCCTGTTTGTGAGTAACTAAAAAGCTTGGGAAATATACTAGTGCCATCTAAGATGCAAGGCTGCCAAATGTTAATTCAAGTACTGGACCAACCTTTCTTCCCAGCCATCTCGCTTCAGAACTTCAAAGGACTGCCTCAGGACTAGACGGATCAGCTAAGGCCAGACAATATTGGTTACAAAAAGGAAGGGAAGAAAAATTAATCAGCTTAGCAGAAAGAGATCAAGGGAACTGGTATAGTTTGGTCCCCAAAGCTGGTAAACTTTTGATCCCCAAAGTGAAAAAATAACCACAATTAACTTCTAGGTCCCTGCTCATGCCAACAGCTGGAAAAGCCCAAGCAGACACACCCGCCCCCGGACCCCGGCAGTCAAGCACAGTGAGCACCGTCTCCTCCATCAGACTAAGCCTGGAGCCTGTTTGGCTTCACAAGTAAACCTTTCTACTCCATCTATGTCACCCTCAGTAGAGTGATGATAGAGCTATAGTATCACAGCTCACAGCAACCTCGAAGTCTTGGGCTTAAGTGATTCTCTTGCTTCAGCCTTCCAAGTAGCTGGGACTACAGGAGTCTGCCACAACACCTGGCTATTTTTTTGTTGCAGTTGTCGTTGATTTAGCTGTCCCAGGCTGGGTTTGAACCTACCAGCCTTGGTGTAAGTGGCCCGCCCCCTAACCACTGAGCAATGGGCGCCACCCACTTTCCACTCTTTTTAAGATGAAGAACATTCTTTTCTTTCTTTTTTTTGGAGATAGTTTATTATGTTGCCCTGGGTAGAGTGCCGTAGCGTCACAGCTCACAGCAACCTCAAACTCTTGGGCTTAAGGGATTCTCTTGCCTCAGCCTCCCAAGTAGCTGGAACTACAGGTGCCTGCCACAACGCCCAGCTATTTTTTTGTTGTAGCTGCTATTGTTTGGCAAGCCTGGGCTGGATTTGAACCAGCCATCCCTGGTGCATGTGGCTGGCACCCTAGCTGCTGAGCTATAGGCACTTGAGTCAGAACATTCTTTTCTTCACATGAGCTTTTGCAGTCAATGTGGATGAAGCTGCAGATCTTACCATATAGTATTTGTCCAGGCGCAGCCTGTCTATCCCCTTCCACTCTCGATTCATGGTTTGCCAAAAGGTCTGAATGAACAGGTGCTCTGTAGTGAACAAAAGGCTCTGAATGCTTGGGTTCCATGTTAATATCTTACCACACAGCAAAAAAACAGTAAAGGGAAACAGATTTGTATTATTCATTATCTATTTTTTCCAAGAATTCTTGGGCAGCCAGAACATTTGGCCAATAAGCAAATATGCTCAATAATTTTTTTTTTTGAGACAGAGTCTCACTATGTTGCCTTCAGTAGAGTGTTGTGGCGTCACAGCTCACAGTAACCTCAAACTCTTAGGCTTAAGCGATTTTCTTGCCTTAGCCTCTCAATAGCTGGGACTACCGGCTCCTGCCACAACGCCCAGCTGTTTTTTTTTTTCTTTGTTGTTGTTTTTGCAGTTGTCATTGTTGTTTAGTTGGCCCGGCTGGGCTCAAACCTGCTGGCCTCAGTGTAGTGGCTGGCACCATAGCCACCGTGCTATGCGAGCCATATGCTCAACAGTGTATTTTACATTTAAATAAAACCACTTTTTTTTTCTTTTTGCAGGTTTTGGCCAGGGCTGGGTTTGAACCCACCACCTTTGGCATATGGGGCTGGTGCCCTACTCCTTTGAGCCACAGGTGCTGCCCCCAAATAAAACCACATTTTTATAAGACAGGAAGGCTGTTAATATCTTACTGCTTGATCAGAATGCTTTCTGGGGCACTTTTCTTTATCCATTGCAAGGCCATTTTCTGTTAGAATTGAAATGCCCTGATCCCCTTCTATGGGTCCTTCCTCCATATGTTGATTTCTTTTTGGCTTAGTTCTTTCTGCACCATTCTTTCTTGTCATGTGCAAATCCATACTACATAAGTAGAATTTTGTTCACTATGAGTCAGTAAATATTCAGAGAACCACTGGGGGGTACTAAAGTCATGAGGATGGTTTTGTTCTGAGAAGTGCTAGGTAGAATAAACTTTTTTCTTCCTCTGCAAGTAGTCAAAGCCGGACTCAGAAATGTCTTAATTTCTCCTGTTGCCTTTTCTTCCTGGTGAAGAGTTACTTGATAGTTTACTGCCAGTGACAGCCCTACCCTGGAGGAGCATAAAACTGGCATCCAGAGGTTACTGAACATGCTGGCACCTGGATAGCTGGCCTCTGAAAGTGTTCCAGTAACTCTGAGTTTGGAGATTTTGGAGGATAGCTACTTTTACACTTGATTTTGGCCAAAAGGCTGAGAAGTGATATGCTATTTCTAAAAACATTTTTTTGGGACTCTTTGAGATGGCAACTATGATTTCCAAAAGACACCTCTGTCACCCTCTTACCAAGTCAATATTCAAGTTTTCAAAAACAGGAACAGCTAGTTGCCTGGTGCCCACACAGTATTAGTACTAGTGTCTCAGAAACTGAAACTTAAAAGGCAGGAGAAGAGAGAACACTGATGAGATTTCCTAGGCAAGCAAGCAAGTCTGACAAGCACGGACGCTTTCAAAGTCTCAGGAACAGCAGCACTTACGAGCCTCTGAGTTGTTAACCACGTGGACGAGTTGGGCAATCGTGTTCGCTAGCTCCTCCTGCAAAGGGAGCGGGGGTTGGGGAAGAGCACAGGGTTATTATGTGGTGACACTGGGCTCGTGTCTCCTGCTGTCTCTGTGGGTCTTGTTCTCAGGGTCACTTCCACCAATAAGCACATACTTGTTTGTATATCTGAATTTTACCAAATGTAAAACCCCCAATTTTAGTGGATTATCATGCTAACTTGATGTCCATGAGAACTGTTTTAGCTGCATCTTTAAGAAAGCATCTCTTGGCTGGACACAGTGGCCCAAGCCTGTCATCCTAGCACTTTGGGAGGCCAAGATGGGAGGATCACTTGAGTTCAGAAGTTTGAGACCAGACTGGGGGAGAATAAGACCCCGACTCTACTAAAAATAGAAAAGCTAGTCTGGTGTTGTGGTGGACACCTGTAGTCTCATGTACTTGGAGGCTGAGGCAAGAGGATCGCTTGAGCCCAAGAGTTTGAGGTTGTTGTGAGCTATGGTACCATGGCACTCTACCCAGGGTGACTCAAAAAAAGAAAAAAAAAAGCATCTCTTGTAATTGGTTCAAATGAACTACAAAAGAGACAAACTAGTTGTCAGTTCTAGGCTCTAAAACTGTAACTTCAATTGGGATTCTCCCATAATCCCTGAAATTGCATGAAACACGAAGGGCAGCGGGGTTGACACCAATGGTCACACGTTAGGACACCCCACAGAATTGGAATGTCCCCTCTGCCTGGCTTGGTCAGAGACAGGGTGGACTGCAAAGGCCAAACCCCCTTCTGGGTTGTCCCTCCTCAGAGTAGCAAGGCTGCTGGGCGTGGCAGCTGGCTCCCGAGGAGGGAGCTGCACCTGCAGCGTCATAGGGAAAGGATGCTCCTCACCAGTCTCTGTTACACCTCCCCTGGCCTGTTTCCCTCATCTTGAAAATGAGGTTCCTGTTCATCAACTTTCTTCTTCCACTAAAGCTGATATATGGAATGGAATTTAATAATATTTTGCCTTGAAATCCTACTCAAAATATGCTCAGTAGATAAAAACTAATAAATCAGAACAAGTTATCATGTCTTGGGAGGATCCAGACTGCAGAGTAATGCCTTGAAAACTGAGATGTGCCCAGGAGATTCTGTATGCCTCAGAGGCCTGTGGCGGTGTCACCTCAAGGATTATTCCAGTCAAAGCAGATCATCTGCTCTCACACAGCCCAAATAAGCTTTTAACAAGGGAGAGTCGCTATTTTAGCCTTAGTTTTGGTGGTGGTGCTCAGCACACCCAGCAGAGATGGAGAACCCCATGTGCTAAGAAGCTGCGAAGTTTGAATTAGCTCCAAGTGTGAAAGATGTCATCTGCTTTGTGCAGAACCAGAAGCCCAGGGAGGTGGCTGCCTTGTCCCGTGTCACAGATGCCAACATTAGCACTCTTGCCATGGCACTTCTGACCACGGATGAAACACAAGCTTTAAAATGAGTAATGTAAAACCTACCATGGAACCTATAAAATTGTGATAGAAATAATAAATGTGCACACTCTTCCTTTTATTTGAAAAGATAAAATGAGTGCTTTGACACTGCAGTCCTTTCTGTATGGACAAAAGGTGAAAGAAACGACTCCCGGAAGCACTGATTTTCAATATGTTTAAATGTATTAGCGATTAAGTCTCTCTTATCTACCTATCAGCTACAAAAACCCAGGAACAGGACAAAGGGAACTGCGTGTTACCTGCAGAAGGGGTTCATCTTGCACCCACATGCAATGGAAGAGCCCTTTCCATATCTTTAGGAGTTCTTCTTGACTGAAACCTCCTAGAGAGCAAAAGAGCACAAAAATCTTATTTTAGAATCTAAGTAGTTCTTTCAAAGTTCAGAACTGGTGAAAAAATACCATATACGTGGCCAGACAATTAAGTTCGGGAACTCATTGCACAAACATGTAACATACTTCATGGCTCAGTATCACCCCTCCCTTTGGGAAGTTAGCAGGGACGCCAGTGCCCACCCCACCCTTGAAAGTACCTTTTCTAGGATGAGTTTGCAAACCTAATTGTTCAACTTTATACATCTTAATTCTCTTTCATCTGTAGATGTCTTTTTAAAAATTTGAAGTATATGCTTCCTTATCATTATAACTTCCCAGGGGAGGGCAGTGGGGGGTGTGGCCCCATCATCTGAGCAACAAGAGGAAGCAAATGTCATCACAACAAAAAATTAACGAATGAAGCAGCCATTTACAGTTCCCCTCAAGCACCCTCCTTGTTTAAAACTCATCTCTCGTACACAGTAATGTTTTCACTGGTCTCGGGAAATAAAACCGCGAATGCTACAAAAGATGCTGAATCTGCTCAGAGACTGGAAGTCGGCCAGGCTGAGGCCTGGGGATCTCTGGATATGTCAAAGACCAAGGAAAGCCCCTGGGAAAACTGATACAGCTAAGAAATAACTCCGCAAAAACGACCCTTTCAAGGATCCCAGAATGTGGTAAAAAGTGGTTGCCATTTACTGGGCCGACTGTGGTCTGCAGTGAGCAGACGACTGGGGCTGGCCTTGCTCTAACTCTGCTGCACCAGGGCTCTGCCTCTGCCTCTGCCAGCTGCAATGAGGCCACCAGTCTCACTCAGCCTGGTCTCTTGGATGCTGCAGGTGTCAATTAATACTTGTTGAGTGACATTAAGGAATTACAAAGTGATAAGGCAAGGACACACTCTTGGAGTTTCCAAACCTACAGACCATGCAGTCAGAAAGCCAACCGAGCCTGCATGGCTTGATGCGTGGCACATCTGGGCTTTACTCATGTCTTATTAGGAGGTACCAGGAGAAATCTTCTGGAGCAGCAAAAGAGCATAAACTACATGAATGCAAACGATATTTGGAATTGGTATGAGCTCAAGTCCAAATGATCAAAAAGCTACAAAAGATCCCTTTTGTGGGACTGAAGTTTATTTAGTGTATTCAGAGTACGATCACCCTGGTTTACAGACGCTGCTTTCCAAGTTACTAAAGGCTTTTCTCATATCAATAATTTTATAAAGGTACATTTTGATTCTCTTTGATAGTTTTCCATTTAAAAATAAGAATCAGAAACTATAGCAATACTGGTTTGTTAAAGCACATTTCCTTTAGGAGTTGCACACGGATTGGTTTTCCTCCCAGCTTGTTACAAGCACGGCACACCTGGGATCTTCCCATTGATAGTGTAAGTACAGTATGAGTGATAAACTCCACCAGAGCCAGCCAGCTGCAGTTGGGACTGCAGGAACTTGTTTTGTCTCAGTGACCTCCACATAGCTCTACTTGTGTTCAATGACTGCATATATCCCTATGGTATTAGAGGATCTGGGCAAGGATCATCAATGGCTGCTGTAATGTTAGATGAAGAGATACAGAGAAACTTGGAAATGGAAGGGTCAGACCAACAATACCCAAACCCACACCCGGTTACTCCTTAGTGTGCACAGACAATTGTTCACGGGATACTTAGATAACACAAGGGGAAGAACCCAGCACCAACCTGTTCAGTAAGTGCTCCTATAAAAACAAAGGTAAAAAACCTCTAAATTTTATGAAAAAAAAATTGTATGAAATCTATCAATGCTAGTTAAAAGGAAATACAGAGGACAGAAGAACATGTTAAATGAGACAGCGGGATACAGTCAGCAAACCCTAAAGGTGTGCAACTCTTAAGGATAAATCTCCATACCTGAAGAACGGCATGGAAAAAATGGGTAAGAAACTCTTAGAATTTACGAGAGCCTTAGCAAACACGTCAGCCAAATTCAAAAAGTGCGTCTTGTTTGGATTCTGATTTGTCATAAAAGACATTTATGAGACCATGAGAAAAAATAACATATTTTGTCCTAGGAAGGATTTTTTTAAAGGTGTAATAATTGCATAATAATCTATTTTAAAAGAGAAGTTGGCTCAGCACCCATAGCATAGTGGGTTATGGCGTCAGCCACATACGCTGAGGCTGGCGAGTTAGAACCAGCCCAGGTCAGCTAAACAATGACAACTGCAACAAAAAATAGCCGGGCCTTGTGGCAGGTGCCTGTACTCCCAGCTACTTGGGAGACTGAGGCAAGAGAATCACTTAAGCTCAGGAGTTTGAGGTTGCTGTGAGGTGTGATGCCACAGCACTCTACTGAGGAGCTACAAAGTGAGACTCTGTCTCAAATAAATAAATAAATAAAAATAAAAGAAGAGAAGTCTACTTAAGGCTTTTGGATGTGGCTCCAGGCCAGGGTACTCAAATTTGGCTCACAATAGACCACTTGAAGTTTTTTAAAAAAAAATCCTTATCTTTCAGAGATGCCTGTAGCTCAGTGAGTAGGGCACCGGCCATATACATCGAACCTGGTCCGTTTGAGCCCTGCTGAGGCCTGCTAAAACAACAACAACTGCAACCAAAAAATAGCTGGGCATTGTGGCAGGTGCAGTAGTCCCAGCTATTCGAGAGGCTGAGGCAAGAGAATCACTTAAGCTCAAGAGTTTGAGCTTGCTGTGAGCTGTGATGCCATAGCACTCTATCCAGGGCGACATAGTGAGACTCTGTCTCAAAAAAAAAAAAAGAAAAAGAAAGAAAGAAATATTCTGTAATAAAAAGAAGAAAAAGAGTGTAGATTACTAAAGTGACACCATACTGTTATTGTCTTTGGTTTTAAAAAAGAAAACCTCTTCATAATTATGTAACTAGAAAAGCATGAACATTAATCAACTTAAAAGCAAAAAGAGGATTTAAAGGATACAGATTACTGAGGTCAGGTACCGGGCATTCCCTGTTCTGGACAAGTAGCTGTTGTTCCCTGCAATCCTTTCCACCTCCAGCAGGGCAGGGAGGGAAGCTGTGGCTTTGGGTGGGGCTCACCTCACTCCAAGGGCAGAATCTGGGCTTTGACCAAATCAGCAGGAATTCCCTTGGCCGCTGTGAGGCTCAGGCTTTAGGAATTCTCCCCTTTTCTACTGAGGAGAGCGCCTGTTTGTTCCGGCGCTCTGCCACCTCAGCACACAAGGGAGCCGATGTGAGAATGGAGACATTCTCTAGTCTGCAGTGCAGCCAGCAGCAGAACTCTGCACAAAGCTGTGCTTTACTTCCAGCCTCCTAAACTAGTGTGGCATGGATGTTTTGTCGAGTTGCAACTGAAAAAGAGTCCTAACTACTATAA